ATTAGGTAGGTGTGGTCCCACAAGGTATGGTCCCACACTTGTTCACATCTCGCACCAGATGTAAGAGGAGGAGGAGGAAGCAGAAGTTCATTTCTTTCACTACCTTGCTTCCCTGTCCACTCCACCTCCTTCTGTGGCTGAAAACGTGGCCACTGCAGCTGTCTTGCGGGGTTTTGAAACCAAGACCAAAAATCCCCAAGTGAGTAGAGGTTTCTACTTAGCAGATCAAATAAAACGAGTGCCTGAGGAAAATCCAACCAAACTCGTCTCGTAGACCATGCAGTTTCACATCCTCTGTAGAGGTAAGCCCAAGCCAGCCGAGGTCTGAGTCAGGGTGCACTCGGAGCAGTTTCACGGGGCTCTGATCTGGACCCAGAATAAAGCCCTGCTGCTGTGCCTGCCGCTTTGCTCCACTTGTGACTGCTGGCCCTCGGCTGGGGAGCTGCAAGGGCAACAGCGGGCGGTGCCCTGGCAGGGAGATGAGCAGGAAAGGACATCCACCATGGCCGAGGCCCTGTGACCCCCGGCGAGGTGCCCAGTGTGATGCGCAGAGGGCACGGGAAGGCCACGCTGGCTTCCTGCAAACCAGGCTTTTGAGGAAGTTGAATTGCGAACAACTGGCGCAAGCAACTCAAGGGAGAGGAAACAAGCGGCCACGTCCCGAGGACCTCAGGCAGCCAGGCGGCACCTCGTCCACACTATGCCCAGCCCCACCTCAGACGAGCTGGGCCATAGGCGTGGTCCCTGCTGGGTGTCCCTCACAGGATTATTTGAGGTGCAAAGGCTAAGACATCAGCTTAAGCTGATCTGAGCCCGTGGTCACTGCAGACTTGCTATTGGGCTGCAATTCACTGCCCACAGAGGCCAGCAGGGGACTCCAGGGAGGAGCGGGTCGGGCGTGAGCAGAGGGGGATGCTCTCTGGCTTTTTTCCCTATTTTTTGGATAGGATCAGGCAAGATGGTTGAGGGCTACAGATTCCACAAGCTCCACGCAGCGTCAGTCCAGCTCTGACTCGCTCTCGCTCTTCACCTCCACCGTGCAGTCTGCCTGTCTGCCGTGCTCCTAAACCCGTGCACCTCGTAGCACGTGTGCGGTGCCGGCCCAGGTTCATCTAAGTGTGACTCCTGCGGACAGGGAATCCTTTCCTTTGTCTCCGAGGGAACCTGTCTCCTGCCCCTGCCAGCTCTCGGGAAGCTTCTCACCCTGAGGCCATCGCCACAAAGAGGCCCAGCCCAGTGCCACCCTGCAAGCATTAGTCAGCCACGGCCGGCCGGGTGACGCCAGTCTGTCCTGGGCAGCAGGAGCAGCTGCAGAGGGCAGGAACGGAGTAAGGAGGCCAGACAATAAACCCTGAGCGGAGTCAGGGTTCTGCGTGGGAGAAGAGCGGGGTACACGTTGCCCAAGATGCTGGCTGCAGCTGCGTCACACGGCATGAGGCGGGATCCGAATGGCGCTGACCAACGTGGCAGTGCCACCAGCAGGCACGTGTGACTACAGAGTACTGAAGCTGTGTCACTGAGGGGCAGGACTTGCATTTCAACTTCCACTAACGTAGCCACATGTGGCTAGTGGCTGTTCCCTGTGTGGCACGGGTGTGGAGGATAAAGCAGCTTGAAAGAAGGGAGGATGAAGGTGTGAGACGTGTGTCCTTTGTGTGACAGTGGCCGCGGTGGCCAGCTGCTGCCGGAAGACTGGACAGGGCCTGCAGGGTGATGCTTTCCATTCCCTGCTTCGCCATGTGTAGCAGAGGCTGCCAGGCCTCGAGGTCTAAAATCCCCCCCTACCGCTTTGGGGCTCGCTGGGGCTTTCCCGCTGTTGGATCTCAGGGCTGCATCCAGTGGGCAGGCTGGTGCCTCCTCCCTGTGGGGCCACAACGCTTGGCTGTTCTCATGAGACAGCCAGACTTCTAACAGTGGCTCAGGCCTCCAGTGCCCTAGACAGCGGCCCACCAGACCCGAAGCCCAGGCCTGGCCCTGGACGCTGCTACAGGCCTTGGTCACAGCAGTCACAAGGTGCTGCCACCTGGGAGGACTAGGCCTGGGCTCCTCAAGACACGGCTCGAGGGAAGCCAGGGGCAGGAGGGGCGTGGGGACCACGAACAGGCGAGCAGCCCCACTGCGGCCAGTGCCCACATTCTTGTGCTGGGGCAGCAGGAAACCCAAGTGTATATGTGACACCTCTCTGGTTTAAATGATTAATTCATGTTCTTTTGGTAGCGGCTCTGAAACGAGACGTACCCACAGTCCATCCATTGGAAGCACAGTCCAGAGCTCTCAGGTCTCTCACGGCCATCGCCATCGGCTTTAGGACGTTCTCATCACACTGCCCAGCAGTCACGCCCCGCCTCAGCCCACCCTACACGCAAGGAGTCGCTGATCTACGTCTGTCCCTGCTTCGGACGACTCTAGCAGTCTCGCAGCCGTGTCTCCTTGCCCTATGGCTCTCGGTGCCACGGGAGCCAGGGCCTGACGTGTGCCACACCAGCGCACCCCTGTGGGCTATGTCCCCAACCCTGCCGCCCTTTCCTAACCACTGCAATCAAACCACTTCCACACGCTGGCTTTGTTTCGCCACCTCAAGGCATCAAAATGAGAACCTTGGAATACTCCGCAAAATTCCTCAGCATAAACCAGGCGAAGTGGTGTGCACCTGTGACTCCAGCACTCCGGGAGGCTGAGGCAGGAGGACCCGATGAGCTCAGAGCCAACCTGGGCTACCTAGGAAGCTCAAGGCCAGACTGACGGTGACTCAAGAACAAATGCTCAGGGTACACCCACCTCTGAGACGCCGTCCTCCCACCCTACAACTGAGCTGTGTTCCTCGAGGGAGGCCATCCAGTGACACTAGGTTATGACATCATCCAAGGTACTCCACGGTTAATAATGCCGACTTCTCTCTGGCCTTTGCCTGAGGAGTTCAGGCCTTCTGGTCCTAGCACAAATACAGCTTCCGGCTCCCAAGAATCAGACAGAAGCCTTCCTTTACCCGAGCCCTACGGCCTACCCGACCCGTGACTGGACGGGAATCTTTCGGGTTTGCTTTTCAGTGAGCTAGGATGCTCATGCAAGGTTTCCGCCCACCACCCACAACTCAACAAAGGGCCACTTACCGCGTTGCACAGGAAGTTGTCACTGGTGGGTGCTGTCTTCGGCTCAAGGAGTACTGCAGTGAACAGAACAGTGTAAGCTTAAGCCCTCTTGATACAGGGAGACAAACTGATCTTGGGTGGGTGACCTCCAAATGGTACAGGGAGCCTCCAAGTGACATCGGGAAAAACCATCTCCCGACCTGACCTGCACGAACGGAGGTTATCACAGAGTATGTTTGAGGGAAAGAAGGCTCCTGTGCGAGAGGGGGACAGGCGGGGGGCCTGAGCGGTTGTTCCCAGGAAGCTGTCTCCTCCAGGGACTTTTATAGTGTAAAACCATGTGGGGCTAAGGTGGAGAAAGGGGGAACTCGCTTAGGTGGATGTGGGGTGGGACAAAACTACGGTCAACCAATGGGATTACAAGCCCCATTGCTCAGGTAAAACTGATTAGGCCCAGGACCAAATGGGGTATTGAGTAACACAGTAAGCGGGCATGAATGTAAAACAGGACCTTATCTGGTGAGCTTCGGACAATAATTCTTCCTAAGGAACGATCAATCCTGGATGAAGTCTTTCGGCTTGGTTCATAGCAGGGGCATCCATGCCTCCCACGGCTGTAAGGCACCTGACCGTTGCTATTCCTTCAAGGGCCTGACCCTGTCTGACCGCCTACAATATTCTACCTAACTCAGGCTGTCTGCAGCACTCAGCCGTAAAGACAGACAAGAGACGGAGGGGGAAGGGACGCAAAATTAAGGTGTGTTACGTGCCAGCGCCAACTCCCCACAAGGTGTGGGCACCTACTGCACACACATACTAATAAGATTTATAAGAGACAGGTAACAAGTAATTTCACAAACAATTATAAATCATCATGGTAGCTCTGAGAAAAATGCCTGAAGAGCTGAATAAAGAACACAGAAACACAGAAAAGGGGGAATGGAGTTAGTGCAGGCGGGCCCGGGAAGTGACATTTGAGCTGATTATCTGATGAGCAGTTAGCACTAATTGGGGGGAGAGGGCCCAGCGCTGGCACTCAGCGATCCTCTCATTCCTAACAAGCGCCCGCTCCCCTGGGCCCGCGTGGGGCTATGGATCAGCCTGCGTAGGGGACCCTCCATACAGAGGCGCGCCCGCCTTCTGCCAGGGCTGCTCCTCCCTCCATTCTGGGCGGCGGCGCTAAGGTGGAGCGAGGGCGCTGTCGGAGGCCCTGGAGCGCACATGCGTTTCCGAAGCCGTGCTGGGGGCCACTGCTGGACGACACTCGCCCACTCACTCCACCAGGCGCCAGGCCCTGTCCTAGTGCTGGGGCAGAGCGGGGAAGACGGCTCGGAGCGCTGCCGCCGCCACGCCGGACCTGAGGGCAGCGCGCGCACGCGGGGGCGAGAGGGTGAAGGCACGCAGGAGGCGGCGCCCAGCGGAAGGGTTAAGGCCGGGGCGACAGAACCTCCGGCCCGCCGGCCAAAGGGCTCGTGGGCGGGCGGCGGCTCAGCAATGTCCGGGGACGCCTCGGGTCGCCACAGCTCGTGCTGGGGACCCTCTCAGGGGCGGGCGGGCGGAGGCCGGCGAGCGCCGAGCATCATCCTGTAGTGCACAGGCCAGGCCCGCGCGGCAGGCCCAGCCGGGCGCCGTCAGCGACGCCGCCGCGACGCCCGGGTCGCAGGCCCCAAGGAGGACAGGGCGCGGGGGTGGGGGGCGGAGCCAGCCGCGGGAGCCCGCCTGGGGCGCAGCCACGGCCCGAAGCGAGCCTCGGGGCGCTCGCTCCGGTCTCCCTGTCCCGCGACACCCACGGTCGTCCACGGCCGCCGGGGTCGCGGGGCTCGCTAACCCGGGACACCTGCCGGCCACCTCCTCGGGTTTCCGGGGCGGGACCGGAAGTCCCCATCAGCTGAGCGGCGGCGGGCCCGCCCAATGGGCGGTGCGAACCGGCGGTCTCGCGAGAGCGCGGCGCGGGGGTCCCCTGGGAGCGCAGCCCGCCGCTGGAGCAGTGGCAGCGGCGAGTGGCGGATGGAGGGTGCGGCGGGCGAGAGGGCGCCGCTTTTGGGCGCCCGGCGGGCGGCGGGCTTGGCGGCCGGGGCGTTCGCCGGGCGGCGGGCAGCCTGCGGCGCCGTGCTGCTGACCGAGCTGCTGGAGCGCGCCGCCTTCTACGGCGTCACGTCGAACCTGGTGCTGTTCCTCAACGGGCCGGTGTTCGGCTGGGAAGGCGCGCAGGCCAGCCAGGCGCTGCTCATCTTCATGGGCCTCACCTACCTGGGCTCGCCCTTCGGCGGCTGGCTGGCCGACGCGCGGCTCGGCCGGGCGCGCGCCATCCTGCTCAGCCTGGCGCTCTACCTGCTGGGCATGCTCGTCTTCCCGCTGCTGGCCGCGCCCGGGCCCCGCGCCGCGCTCTGCGGGCCTCTGCGCCCGGTGCGCGTGCTCAACTGCTCGGCGCCCTACCCGAACGGCACGGCCGCCTGCCCCGACGCGGCCCCGCGCCGCTGCGCGCTCGCCACCTTCGCGGGGCTGGCGCTCGTGGGCCTCGGCGTGGCCACTGTCAAGGCCAACATCACGCCCTTCGGCGCGGACCAGGTGAGCCGCGCGGCGCCCACCTGCATCCGCATGTGCACCTGCGCCGGGCGGGCGGGCGGGGAGGGTGGCCCACCAGGTACTGGAGGGACGCAGAACCCCCACGCCCCGGGCTCTTCCTTCTCGGTTGAAGGAGACGCTGGAGCAGGAAACGCAGTGTCTGCACCTGCATCCTCCGCCTAGTGCAGGCTGAGAAAGTAAGAAACTTCCTGCCCTAGGGGAGCTTCCATCTGGCGCGGGAAGCCCACCTGCTGTGCACCTGCTTCAGGAGGCTTAGAGCCGCCAACGCCTGGGGGGTACCATCTGCGCCTTTGAGCGGGTACATACACAAAGGCAGCGCAGCGGGTGCAAACCCCAGCTGCTGAGCGGCCCATCTCCTGAGGGTGGGATCCGTGCATCCAGTAATGGCCGGGATTAGCCTGATAGGGAAGGAACTTGCTGTCTGTGGAGGAAGCCGTTGCAGTGGAGGCTTGAGGGATAGAAAAGGGCGAAAGTAGCATGCAGTAGGGCTCCATGGGGGGCTCGGGAAGAAGGATTGAAAGTTGGAGAACGGCCTGTGCAAGTTGACCCGACTCTGTGTCACAGTGAAAAGGGCTGGGATGTAGCTAAGCGTTAGACTGCTGACCTCATGTGTGAGGTTTGGGTTCCATCAGAAAAAAACAAAAACATGGTTTCCATGTAGGGGGTCAACAGTGCTGAACCCCTGGAGCCAGAAAGCTACGGTGAGCCCTTGTCATGGTAGTAGCATCTGTCGTTGCTCCAGAGGGACCGGGTTGGTGGACGAGGCCTCACAGCCAAGAGATAAGGAAGGAGCCATCCTGAGCCTCTTGGGGAAAGGAAGTGATCAGTGGCCTGGGTGTCAGGCAGACTGACCTCCTGTTTTTGTTTACAGGGAATACAACTCAAGACTTTATGCTTGCCAGACAGGCACTGTGCCACTGAGCCATGTCTCCTGTCCTACTGCTGCCCTTTTTTTTTTTTTTTTTTTTTTTTTGGCGGAACCAGGGATTGAACTCAGGCCCTTGCGCTTGCCAGGGAAACACTTATTCCACTGAGCCATCTCCTGGGCCCCTACTGCCTGTTTTTTGAGAACTCATCAAGAATGGTTCTTTTGAAGTGGTTAGAAGCTGTATTTTGTGGCAGATGAAAACTATGAAACACAGACTTTAGGCTCCATAAGAAGAAAGCTTTATTGGGTGCAGTGGTGCCCAACCCTGCTTACTTGGCCCCAGACTAGGGCTGCTTTCCCCAGCTGTGGCAGAGTTCAGTCATTCCAGAACCTAGAGCAGCAGCTCCTCGCCCCTTAAGAACAGCTATGGATACCTGTAGAGTGTTGGGGATGGCCCACACTGCTTGGGAGTCAGCTCTCCTGGCCAGGAAGGAGGCCTGGCCAAAAGCAGAGGCTGGGCAGTGGGGTGCTAGGTGAGCCAGTGGGCTTTGCATGCGCCTGGGGAGCCTGTTTTTGCACCGAATCCTGCGTGAGCACTGTCCCTCCCTGAGGCTGCCTGTGCGGTAGGCCTTGTGCTGAGTGCTTGTTTAATCCACGCGACACCCCATTTTACAGATCAAGAAACAGGCTGGAGAGGTTGAGGCTGAGGTGTGTTTGTGACTGGCTGGGAAAGCTTGTCCCGGAATCTGAGTCCTCCCACCGCAGCATACAGCTGACACATTAGAGTAGGGAGCCCTCTTAACTTTCTTTAGTGGTGGTGCGGTGGTGTGACCTGCTGAGTCCTGCACTATTTTCTGTGTACGGTAGCAAGATCTTTGAGTTGTAAGAGAGTCTTAAATCTGCCTTAGCGCTGTGTAAGTGGAGACCCCAAGAGACTGCTCTTCCATTCAGTAGGTAGTGACTGGGTCAACCAGGCTTTTATTCCAGGTCTGGTTTCTTAACCTTTCACCGTGGCTCCAGGCTGGGCAGGACAGGCGTGTGCATCTCCCAAGGTTCCCCCAAGGCGTACCTTCAGGCCCATGCTGCCCTGCAGGGCTGAGAACACATTCCTTCTCTGTCTTATAAAGGACAGACAGGCATGTCATCCAGCTGCCTTTGTCGAGGGCTCCTGGAAGCCTCACACTGGTTGCCAGGGGGCACTGTCTGTGCTTGTGTCGCATCAGAGGGGAGCTGCCCTGTACTGGGGAGGAGAGCTGGCTTGGGGCTCAGGCCACCTGACGGGAGCTAGTGCTTTCTGGGAGGTAACAGACTTGTAGTTCATGTCCCCTGCCCTGCTGGTGTGGGGTAGAACCTGGGCCTCCTGCACACCAGACTCATCTGTGAGCTCTGTGTCCAGCCCAGTTAATAGTTCTCAAAAGAACAAAAGAGCCTGTAGTGGCCATCTTTATTCTGAGTGGCTCTGACAGAACCTGCATACTTTTGATCCGTAATTAAGTGTAGAGTTGAAGAGAAATGCGCCTGGAACACGGGTCTCCTCTCTGTGGCACGAGGGGCCTGTCTTCCTGGAGAGATGGCAGAGAGACTGGCTGGCCAGCGCCAAGGCTGCTGTGTGATTGGCACGGGTTGTGTAAGCCATGCTGTGGGCACATGAGGTGCTGTGACCGTAGGTCACGTGCTGGATGAGCCTGTGTTGATGCAGCATTTCTCAGGCACGGTGATGGCATCGTGACTGTGGGAAAGAATGTCCTTATTTTTAGGAGTTCAGCCAGAAGTGTTTCAGTTTTTATCAGAAAAAAAAAAAAAAAAACAACAACAAAGCAACTAGAGATCTAAATTAGAGGCCTGGGTTTATATTTTAGTGTTCTTAGAACTTTCATGTGAAGTTTCAGGTTTTCTGAATGAAAGGTTGGGGGCTGCACATCACCTGCTGAATGCTGAATCTCACCTAGGCAGCGCTTAAGCTTTTGCGGGGGTGGTGATCATTCTTGGCGGGTGGATCCCGCCTTATTTTCCCCTCTCACCTTTACTGCTCTTAGCAACATGCGGCTGCAGCCTTCAGGCAGCGGGCACAGGCCCGCGTCTTTATTCTTATGAACCCCTCCTCCCCCCGGATTTGAGTTGGTGATGTGAAAGAGGAAGAACTCACAGTACAGATAAAGGGAACAAATGGTGCAGTCTTGTGTACTGTCAGGAATTTCTCCACGTCCGGCAACCATCTGACTCACTGCCGGCCACTAAGTCCCCCAGCCTTGCCTCCTGAGATCAGTTTCTGGAGTGTCATTTGACTACTCACCCTTGCTGGGCAGGCAGCAGCTGCTCACATGGTGACATCACGCGGCCGACTTAGGTGGAGGCAGGGCTGAGGCAGGAGATGTGTGACGTGTGGCCTGCCTGGCTGGCGGCCGCCTTCGGCCTGCACAGACGCAGACGTGGGTGGTCCTCGGCCCGGGAACAGCCCGAGGGCTGGCGGGGTGGTTGTGGCACCGCGTGCTCCCAGCAGAGAAGTCCACTTCCAGGCTCGCTCAGAAGTGAGGGCGCGTGGGGTTTTGAGGCTAGAGCCCTGCCAGGCTGGCTGGGCAGGAGTCCTTTCCTCCACTTGAAGATGAGCTACGTGCACGGGTGTGTGTGGAGGGCGCAGCCCCTGTCCCGACAGTGGCGGTGCGTCTTGGCCTGCATCAGTCACAGCTCCCCTAGGTTACAGCGTGCGCCCGTCTCCACCTGCCTGTGAAGGTTGTCGGAACCGTCCTCTCTTCTCCGTAGCAGTTTTAGTTATGTTTCCTCTAGTGATTTCTGTGCTCAGTCTTTCTCCTGGTTGATCTCTAGTAAGCCCTGCTGGTGCCTCCTGTGAGGTGACCTGCACACACATTGTGTCGCGCGGCTAAGAAGCTCAGCACAGACTTCCCTCGCCCGCACTGGCCCTGAGGGCTGTCCTGTCCTGACTTGCTTGCACAGGAGCTTCAGCCCTGCGGCGTGTGTGATTTATCCAGTACTCGTTTTCCAGTACAGTTTTCGTCTGTGATGCTCATGGCCACACAATTCCCTCAGACACGGTAGGAGTGCTTGTCGGTCTGACTCGAAATACTAAATTTTGAGGAGCAGTCAACTGTGACTACTCTGTACTCCTACTGTAATCCTGAAAATAGACCTGCAAGTACTGTGTCAAGGGCTAGGACTGCCAGTGTGCTCAGCATGTGGTGATTGGCTGCTTCAGGCCCACTGCAGACCTGTTATTTTGTAGGGGGGATCTCTGCGGATCAGAAACCGAGAGTGCGCTGACCTTACCATGCCCAGTGACGTAGGTGAGGCAAGTTCCTTAGACTGCGAGGCTGCGCAGTCTGTGAGAGCCACAGTTACCCTGGTGCTAGTGAGCTGGCCAGAATGAAATTCATGAAGTGAAACTCGGTAGAAGCGGCTGTGGCTGGGACAGGGCATGCTGAGAGCGAAGCCCAGGCGGACGGCAGGCGCGCGCAGGGCTGTGCCTGTCCAGGCGAGCTAATGCTGGCAGTGCCAGGCCCCAGGGCCCTACCGCCTATGTTCATCTAAGTCCAGGAAGTTAGTGATTTTTGAGCCTTTCATGAATCACAGCTCGTGTCAGAGTTCTTGATTCCTTTGATAGCCTTCCTGGTTGTGAGATTAGTTTTAGTTGGTATGGAAATCTGCCCTGCTGCAATACCTGCAGATGTCCCCTGTGCCCTGCTTTGGGGCTGAATCCATTTGCTGCAGCCCCGTGGCACTTGGCTGTAGCCCAGAAGGGTGTGGAGCTGTGAAGATGTGTTCTGAACCTTGCTGTGAGTGATGTCCGCTGGGAGTTTGTCACACAGGTTGCTTACCACATGAGCTCCTGGCCCACCTAGGAATGGGGCTTGAGTGGCCTGGGGACGTGGCTTGCCTGACTCATCCCAAGTAGTCCAAAGCGGCAGGCGGTTTGCATGCTCTAACTCCTGCGGGAACTGTTGGCACTCACTCGTGCAGCAGCCTGCTGTCGGGTGTTTCCTGTGGCCAGAGCAGCGTGTGGCACTGTGTGCTTACCCAGGATGAGCCTCTTGGCGGGTGCATCAGCTCCCAGGAGGTGAGACCCGCCTGAGCCTGCAGAGTCTCTGTCTCAGTGAAAAGGGCGGAAGAGAGAAAACTAAAAGGAAGAGGAAGACGTTATGGGTTTTCAAGCATGTCTCCTCCCGTTTTAGGTCAAAGATCGAGGCCCAGAGGCCACTAGGAGGTTTTTTAACTGGTTCTACTGGAGCATTAACTTGGGAGCCATCCTCTCGCTGGGAGGCATTGCCTACGTGCAGCAGAACGTGAGCTTCTTCCCTGGCTACCTCATCCCCACCGTGTGTGTGGCCGTCGCCTTCGTGGTCTTCCTCTGTGGGCAGAGCGTCTTCATCTCCAAGCCCCCAGACGGCAGTGCCTTCACCGATGTGTTCAGGATTCTCGCACACTCGTGCTGGTCCCGGAAGCGCCGCGGAGCACGCCCAGGCGGCAGGTAAGTGCTGCGCTCCTGGCTCGGGTGCAGGGGCTCGCTGATCACCATGGTGACCGTCCAGCTCAGCTCTTGCCCGCAGCTGCTCCGTGGTTTTCAGTCCGTTCTGCTTCTCCCTCTAGCGCAGTGGGCAGGAACTTGCAGAGGGCATGGGGGGGATGGTGTGGGCCTCAGCTGTGCTACTGACTTGCAGGAACCAGGGCGCGCCTGTGAGAAGCCCCGTGCTTCAGCAGCAGGCTGCAGCCTTTCTGCAGGGCAGTCTTGGGCCCTGGGGCTCTGGTGTTAGGGAGCCGCTGCACTTCCATGCCTGTATTCATTTATTCATTCATCCATCGTGGCTTTTTGAGACCAGGTCTCCTATGAAGTTCAGGCTGGCCTTGAACTCCCTATGTAGCTCAGGTTAGCCTTGAACTCCCCGAAATCCTCCTGCCTCAGCCTCCCCGAGTGCCAGGATTACTGGTGTGTGCCACCACGCCCAGCAGAGGACCATTTGGTTTTGTTTTGCAGTGCGGGGACCTTGGGCGTGGTGGCAAGTGCCCCGCCACTCGGCTCACTTGAGCTTGCGCTTGCCTTTGACACGAGGTCCCAGCAGCGGAATTTCAAGGTGCAGTTAGGTGATCTCACTTCCAGTGCATCTCACTGCGTGCGCGCTGCACCTCCCTCTCCTTTTGTGCCATGAGAGGGACGCTCTCTCAGGACCGCTGCAGTGACCGGCTGGTCAGTGGTGGGCACTGGGGTGGCCTTGAGAGGCTTCGGGCCCGAGGAGTCCACTGCCCCACCCATGTGTGCCACGCCCACATCTGGCCTGGCCTGGGGTCTGGTCTGGACTGAGCTCTGCCCTGGGAACAGCGTGCTATGCCAGGCCCCAAGACACCCTCAGGAGGGCAGTGGGCTCGCCCCTCCGTGCTGAGGTCTCTGTGGCTTTGGCTTCGTGTTGGCCCCAAGACACCCTCAGGAGGGCAGTGGGCTCGCCCCTCCGTGTTGAGGTCTCTGTGGCTTTGGCTTTGTGTTGAGTTGCAAAATAGCGTGCCAGCCAGGCATGGCGCACACCTGTAACCCCAACATTTGGGAGGCAGAGGCCAGCCTGAGCCTTTCACGCATCACTGCTCCTGTCAGAGTTCTTCTGGATCCCTTTGATGGCCTTCCCAGTCAGAAAGGGCTTGTGGGTTTAGTTGTAGTTGGTATCAAAGCCTTCCTGGCTACAGTAGCTACAGATGTCCCCTGTGCCCTGCTTTAGGGCTGAATCCGCTTGCCGGGGCCCTTTGGCACTTGGCTGTAGCCCAGAAGGGTGTGGAGCTGTGAAGACGTGTTCCAAACCCTGCTGCGACTGACAGCACGGATCCTGTCTCAGAAAAAAGAAACCAGAAACAAAGCAGCACGCTCCCAAGGGAGCTCGGGGTACCCCGGCCCCACAAGTCCTAAGACCCGTGCCGTAGGGAGTGGGGCCCAGCAGCTTGTCATTTGGCACCTGGGCGTTCTCAGGGAAAGCACACACAGAGCACGGTGTGGTGGGTCACTGAGGCTGTGTGCCGTACACTCAAAGGAAAGTAACCTGAAGAGGGAGAAGTTGTCAGGTAAAATAGCTCTGTCTTTGGAGTTTAGAATCCCACTTAACAGAGTGTCTGCCCTTCAGTTTCTTTTCTCCCACGCTTGGCTCCTAGGTGTGGGGAGCAGCCCCAGTAGAAGTGGGCTTGGAAGCCCCACAGCCTGTTCTGGCAGCAGGGAGCACTTGCTGGGGTGCTCTTACCTTTCCTCACCAAAATATGGCTAATGTGCTCAGTGTTTATTTTCCCCTCTCTCAGATTCCAGGTTAAAAATGTCAGCTGTGTGAGATAAAAGTAGTTCAGCTTGTGCCTGCTTTTAAAGTGGGACACGCATGGGTTTATAAACCAGAAGGGCCGCAGTCGCCATTTCCCTTGAGTCAGACGTGGGCCGCCTCACAGGCGACTCGCTTTCCCTGGGGAGTTGGCTTGAGAGCCTGGGGTGCGAGGTTTCCCCGTTCCCTGAACGCCCTGGGATGAGCCTCTGTGAGGAGCTGGGAAGGGACTGATGCGGGCCCACACTGAGGAGCAGATGCTAGCATAGGAGCCAGGGCCTGGTCGGAACTGTGACCCACGGCGGAGGGAGCCCAGGGTCAGTGGGTCCTGCGGTGGCCAGGGCTACTGCTCTGAGGCCAAGATTGCGTGGATTTGAATCCTGGCCCCGTCTGAGTGCTTGTGACCTCGGCACGTTTGTCTCCCTCTTTCTGCCTACTGTGCTCTAGAAATGGGCCAGTGAGGCTCCTACTACTGCCTGGGCTTGTGAGTGCCTCATGGCTGCTACATGCCGCCCGCTACGCTGCTGCGTGGCCAGCAGTGTCCGTTTGCCCTGGGGCTCCCCCCACTAAGGAGGGATGGCTTTCCCAGCTCAGCACCCTTCTGCCGAGGGAGCAAACGGAAGTGAATGAATTAGATGTGGAGGTATGGCCCCCCAGCCTGAGCCCGGGGCTGCTGCGGGTCTGTGGAGCCTTAGCTGAGCCCAGCGGTGTGGCCAGGGCCAGCTCATGGTGCCGTGTGTGGCTGCGGCAGCTGGTGTCTTCCAGCTCCCCAAAGTCGCAGCCACGCTGGCCAGAGATCCGTGTGTTCTGCTGTGCTGGGAAGTAGCTGAGGCAGGCGCATTTGGTGTTTGCTGCTTATGGGCCACGGAGCAGCTGGGGCCGTCAGTGCAGTGAGCTGTGTTTTGCCCCTAAGCTTAATTTGTTATCAGATACTGGTTGCTGGGGGTACGAGAAAACTAATTCCTTCATTTTGTTTCCCTAAGTGAAGGCATTGGAGTCTTTCAGCAATCTTCTAAACAAAGTCTGTTTGATTCATGTAAGATGTCTCACGGAGGGCCGTTCACAGAAGACAAAGTGGAGGATGTGAAAGCCCTGGTCAAGATCGTGCCCGTGTTCTTGGCTCTGATCCCTTACTGGACAGTGTATTTCCAAGTGAGTCGCGGCACCATGCAGGTGGCTTTACCTCGTCCTCCTGGAAGTGCTGCCGGGACCCGGGGCTCACAGTCTCCCCATGAACCTCTAAGTGTTGGGGTTGTTTTTTGATAGTGGGGTTCTGTGGCTGCTTTCAGTATTTTGAAAGCTTCTAATAACCACCACATCCCTGCCCCACCGGAGCACTGTCTGTTCCAAGTCCCAAGGCCCCGCGTCTTCCTGGTGGCTGGGAAGGCGGGTGCACGTGCGTGACCCTGCTCTCTGTGCCCAGATGCAGACCACCTATGTCCTGCAGAGTCTCCACCTGAAGATCCCAGAGATCTCCAGCCTCACAGCCAACCCGCACACGGTGAGTCGGCCCGCTGGCCCTGACCTGGGTTCCCGCGTGCCCCGCAGCCTGGGCAGCAGCGCTGGCGTGAGCGCAGGGCGGTTGCCAAGCTGGAGCCGCTTCTCAGGCGCATCTCTCCAGTGGCCTCAGCGCTTGCTAGGCTAGGATAGACGGACCTTGATTAAACATGGGTTCGTATTTTCACCGGGTTTTATGTCCCTTCCCCCTTGAAAGCACAGGGAACGGGTGTGCACGTGTGAGGAGTAAGCCTGCAGGTGTGGGCCCGGGAGTGCTGGGCTCTGGAGGGGGGCTGTGCTTGCTCGGTGGGGCCCCTCACTGCCTGTGCTCCCCGCAGTTCCCAGCCGCCTGGCTCACCATGTTCGACGCGGTGCTCATCCTCCTGCTCATCCCGCTCAAGGACAAGCTGGTGGACCCCGTCCTGAGGAGGCTCGGCTTGCTGCCGTCCTCCCTGAAGAGGATCGCCGTGGGGATGTTCTTCGTGATGTGTTCTGCCTTCGCTGCGGGTGAGCGGGTCCCTGGTCCCGGGGTCCTCTGAGCCTGCTGGGGCGCCGGCAGGGTGGGAAAGGGGCCCAGGGTGCTGCGGGGGGTACGGGTGGGCTTTGTGGACTGAAGGTGCACCCCACGCAGGTGCCCCTCTGTGGGCTGTAGGTGGCTTACGATGCCCGGGAGCTGATGAGCCCTTCAGCACCACGTGTTTGTGTGCATCCGGCGAGGGGAGGAGAATTTGTGGAGCTCTTCCAGGCTCGTGGCGGCCCCTCCAGCTGGAGAAAGCGGACTGGAGCTCCCGGGTTCCCGAGGGAATTAGCTTTTCAAAAGACTCTTCTGTTTTCATGCTTCTCGCATTCTGAAATGCTCATCTTCTACTGATGAAGCTGAAGTACTAACTGGGCATGGTGACGTACGCCTGTAGTCAGAGTATTTTGGAGGCTGAGGCAGCAGGATCATGAGTTTGAGCCCACCTGGGGCAGCATGGTGGCTTAGCAAGACCCATTCTCAAAATCCAGGGAGAGGGCTGGGATATGCTCAGTGTGAGGTCCCAGGGCCATCCTCATAACCCCCAGAGGAGGGGCTGAGGCTTGCGCTGCCTTCTGCCTGCTGCGGAGGTGTTCCTTCATGACTGTTAGATGTCACTGAACCCTAACATGGCTCAGCCTGAGCCTACCACGCGTCCTGCAGTTCTGAGGCGCTCGGTTCTGAGCACCTGCTATGCAGGGGCTGCTATTGCCCCCTTCCTGGAGTGCTGACTGGGCTGCGGCAGTGAGTCCCTTGGCTTCCAGAGCCCGTGCACGCGAGGCCCAACATAAGCAATTAAGTGAGGCTTGTGTGGGTGGGCTTCCCACTGTGTACTTGTCCCGTGAGCACCTGCCAGAGCTGTGCACTGCAGAAATAAGCAGGAGCAAGCAGGAGGCAGAGCACGGGCTGTGGTGTGGGCGCCAAGGCCTTCTGCAGGAAGGGCCTGGTGCTCTGTTCCCTCCCTCACTGGCCCTGGGGTGGGGGTGGGGCCTGTGCCCGCAGCTGCCGCTCTGGGGACAGGGGCCCCTGCCTTTCTGGGGCCTTTGCTCCTGAGTCCTTGCCTGCTGTCTTTTTCTTGCAATTTTCTCAGTGGCCACCCTGAGAGGTGCGTGGTTTCCCTGCTGTGGGATCGAGGATGGAGGAGTGGCTTGAGGTTTACCAGTCCCTTCCACTCTTTCCATGTACTGGCAGACTAGCAATGGACAGGGCCAGCAGCGTGAGGGGCAGCTGGGAGATGTGGCAGCATGGGGACAGGGGACACCAGTGTGTCCAGGCTCGCCTTGCCATGTGTCAGGAGAGCTTAGCACACTCCAGGTGCTTGGGCAGTGTAAATAGCCTGTCATTTGCTGGAGCTCACTGGATTGCAGCTGCCTGTGTTCCTCTTTTCTTTTTTGGTGGGAGGGAGACAGAGCCTCCTGTGCAGTTCACGTGAGCTTTGAACTTACCCAGTGGCCCTGATGGAAGTGGAACTGGTGGGGATTCTGCTGTCGCAGCTTCCCAGTGCAGGGTTACTGGTGTGCGCCCGGCAGGCTGCCTGTGCTTGGTGCAGCCGCACTCCTGGTTTAGAGTTGCAGGGGACATCTCAGATCAGCAGGGCGGAGAAAGAAGTATGCTCGTTTGCTAACTTTTGATACCTAAAACACGGGTGCTGAATTTATCTTACATCCTGAGGTATAAAGTTTTTCATTTTCCTTTTATTGTAACGGGCTAAGTTCCTTAGGTTTCTTCGCATGGTAGGTTCCTTAGCTGTTTGGTGTAGCTTTGATTGCTGTCATATATTTTTAAAATTGGATGAGGTAGAGAATTCATCGCAGAAGGCTCCCTTCCTCTTCCGCGTCTCTCCTGCCTTCACCGTCGCAGCTCTTTGCCTGCCTCTGACAGCGTGGGCTGAAGTTCTGGGACTCTCTCCAGGTGGCGTCCCACCTAGCTGTGATGCCTCCAGCCGCCAGGCTCGCTGCTGCTGCTGTGTGCCACAGAGGCCGCCGCGCGACCTTGCGCACCTAGCTTGGCGCCAGCTTTCCTGGGAGTTGGAGCAGCAAGGAAGTTTTGGCTGTTCTCACACTAGTTACCTTTTCCTCCACCTCGCTGCAATGCTTGCACTTTGTGTTGATGTGAGTGTCCAGAGGTGTGTGACCAAGGGCTGTGGGCGCCACCCGCCCGCACCCGTGCTGGGGCCGTGGGCTCTGCGGCGGGGTCTCTGTCAGCTGCACCAGGGGAGCCCCCGCAGCGCTGGGCTGTGCCTGTGTGTTCCGGGGCTTTGGGCTTCCTGTTTTATGGCATTTTTATCTTTTCTTCTCTTGAGCTATTTGCATTTTTTTTTTTTAACTTTTAAATCAGTTTTCTTGAGTCTTAAGGAAATGGGGTGATGGTTCAGTGGGCTGGCAAGCACTTGGTATCAAAAAAAAAGAAAGAAAATGTGGCAAATGTATTAGAGTAATCATAAAAATAGTCTGAAGTAAATCCACGTTTCTGCCCTCCTTCATTTGTAGCTTCCGACACTTGCACTTCATTGAGGTTGCCAGAATGGCATGTGTTTTGCCTTGGTTCTATGGGGGTGTCTCTTGGGTTGTCAAGGTGGCTGTTGCTGCATTCTCTGTTTTAAGGTACTGGAAGTCTGCAGCCTTCTAAGCTGCTTCCTGACTGGAGAGTTAAGATGCTTCTTAGCACCCTGTTTCTTTCATGGTTTTCTTTCTCATTTGTTGAGTTTCGTGCTTCATTCCCTTGCATGTGTTCTTTCCTGTGTAACAGTAAAGGATATTTAGCGCTATAATTGTGGAAGCTGCTGTTTTGCTCTAGACCATGTTGTTTGTTGCTGTGTTCCCTGTCAAAATTGAAATTTCATTCTGAGTTCCTTACTGATCTGAGATCAACGTCAGGATTTCATTCACTGTGCCGACGTTTATGGGCTTGTTAGTGGTGGCCCGCCTTGGGACAGTTGCCATGTTGGCTTCGATAATTCCCAGGAAATTTGAGCCTTCCTTTATGGAATGTTTGTTGGGAGCTGAGGAAAATGATTTTTATATATATCTTTTTATTTTATTGATGATGATTCTTTTTTTATTTTATTGATGATGATGATGACCCTGTTTGGTACAGGGTCTCAGTATGCTGCTTGGATTCAAAGTGATCCTCCTGTTTTTATCCTTCCCAGCATGGGGATTATAGGCTGGGATTACAGGTGTGCGCTGCCAGGCCCGGACTTGTGGCCAGCTCAGCGCACCCCTGTGGGGCTGGCGTGGCTTCTGGCACCAGGGATGAACCAAGTCCCTGAGCCGTTCTAGGCAGGCGCTTAGTCTGCTGAGCTATCTCGCTGGCCCTATTGGTTTTTTTTTTTTGAGACAGTGTTTCCCTATGTAGTTCAGGCTGGCCTTGAGTTCACTTTGTAGCCCAGGCTGGTCTCAACAATCCTCCGGCCTCAGCCTCCTGAATGCTGGGTGATGGTCGTGTGCAGGCCGTTTCATCTGTTTTGATATTCTCAGCTGTGTGGATCACATTCCTGTCCCAGCTCTGGGGACCTGGCCGCAGGTCTCCAGTGCGCTCCACAAGTGCCCTGGCCTAACTGCACTGAGCGAGTCCCAGTCTCTCACAGTAGAGTCCTGAACTCTAGTGTTGGCAGTGGGCAGGAGTCCAGAGCAGGACTGGCCGTGCAGACCCTTTGTGAGGCATGTGGGCTCAGCACCACAAGGCTCCCTGGTCCGTCTGGCTCTGGGTCCTCGCCGCGCAAGCTGCCTCAGGGTTGTCTATTGCTTTTGCATCTGGGCCTGGCTTTGCGCTGTGGGTCTCTGGTGTGCTGTACCTGTGCCAGGGAAAGCCTTCCCTTTGTTGCCTGCTGGTCTTGGGAGGATGAGAAGTGTCGCACACAGTGTGAACCGCGCATGTGGCATTGCTGAGGTGATGGGGTTCAGGGGAAGGTGGCACTGGCAGGTCCTCCCGAGCCTGCCTGAGCCCATCCTCTGTGGTCAGAGCCCCTTTTCCTTACCCTTTGGGACCCTGGGTGGATCACCTCCCCAGTGACTGAGCCGAGTGTCGGGCAGCAGCCAGGCCGTGAGCCAGAGATTGACTGTCCTTTAGGAGCCCTCTGTTCTCCTCCGCACAGTTCTCTGCACGCTTCTTTCCTTCCACGGTGCTGCTTTCAGTCCTGTGCTCATGTGAATGTGGCCAGGTTCCCTCCAGCTGTGGGGTGCGTCGTGGCTCTATGGTGTTGCGTCCACACGTGGTCTTTGGGTACGGGCTGTGCACTGCTGCAGGTGGAGCCCTTTGAGAGGGAGAGCGTGCGTTGGCTCCGGAGTGGCTCCTGGCTGTCCTACCTTGTACCCGTGGGCACCGTGTCTCTTCTTCATCTCTTGGTCCCCGAGTCTGACTGCTGCTGCTCCTGAGCCCACCTGCTCCTTGGGGATCCAAGTCTGCCGCTGCCTTGCAGCCTCTCCTGGGTCCTGCCGCCGCCTCCTGGTCTGTCTCTGCCCATGGCCTGGACAGTTACTGTGTTGTTTTCTCGTCTTTTACTCTGGCTGTCCTGCTGTCTCGTCCTCAGCCGACACCTCCTCCTCCTCCTCCTCCTCTCTGTTAGTTGTTCACAGGTGTGCGGTTCTCAAGAACAGCAGCAAGGCCACCAGCTGGCGCTGCCCTGCCCGCCCCTGCCGCCTGGCCCTGGAGTCTAGTGATTCGCAGAGCCTGCTAACCGCACACGTGTACCCTGGGAGCGCTCTGCCCTGGCTGGTCCTCCGTCCTGGGCAGCAGGAGGGTCAGGGTTGGGCTGGGCCTGGGCCCGCAGTGGACAGCTATTGCAGGTCACCCTCCACGAGGTGCCACTGCTCCTGAGGCTCATGGGTGTTATCAGTGCATGTGGCATGTCAGAGAAGACAGTCCCTGTGACACTAGCCCTTCAGCACCACCAGCCTGAGACTAGTAACTGCTGGCCACGGCCCCGTGGGGCCCCCAAGGGCCCCCTTCCAGTGTGGCCAGGAGCCTGGGGTAGTTTGCCAGCTGCACATACCTCGGTTCTGTGCTGTGCGGGTCCAGGGGTCAGGGCCCCCTCACTGGCTTCCCTAGAAGGGCACAGGGCTGTCTGATGTGTCTGGGGCTTGATTGGTGGGCCCCCAGGGTTTTTCTCAGGCTAGGCGTTCAGAGTTGTGGTCTGGGGCTGACTCCAGGGTGTCCTCTGGTCTTCCTGTGGTGTCCTAGTCTGGGCTTTTCTTGTACTCGCTTTGAAAAGGAGCATTTAACGGTGTGCGTTTGCAGTGCAGGACAGAAAGCTTGTTTTGAATTTGCCCATGTTCCCTGTACGTGATGCCTCCGTGCGCTGTTGGGTTGTGTGTGGGCACACCACCTTAGGTCGTGCTGCGTCGTCCCCGTCCCTTACCTCAGGGGCGTCCTGCATGTGTCCATTCCACTGGCCCCTTAGGGTAGGCTCACCCTGCCCCTTGCTGTTTGGTTTGTGCCTTGTGGTTCAGCTGCCCTTGAACTCACTGTGTAGCCCAGGCTGGCCTCGAACTCTCTGATCCTCCTGCCTCAGCCACCGCGGTGCTGGGATTAGAGCTGCTTCATCACCCTGGGTTTTTATTTTTCTCATAATTTCTGCAGGGGGGTCTCACCATGTTACCTAGCTGGACGCAGAACTGCGGGCCAGGCGCCCTCCCCCTCCTGCGTGCCATTCCTTGCCTGTCTTAGTGAAAGCGCGGGCATGGGCAGCAGGCAAGAGAGTGGGCTAGATCCGACTGTTTTCTGGGGTGGCGGTGAAAACACAGCTTAGAGGTGGCCGCAGGAAGCCACCGATGTACAACCAGTGACGCCGCAGCTGTGAGGCTGAGCCGAGGTTCTGGGGTGTTGTCCACCCACTCGCCCCATTTTGGAGTCCTCTGTAGATAGCCAGCAGCAAGCTCCTCGTTTTCTAGTGTAAGTGGAAACACTACTAACTGCTGTCATGACTCCCTGTGAATTCTAGGAATCCTGGAAAGCAAAAGGCTGGACCTGGTTAAAGAAAAGACCATCAACCAGACCATCGGCCACGTGGTGTACCACGCCGCAGACTTGCCCGTCTGGTGGCAGCTCCCGCAGTACGTGCTCATTGGCGTCAGCGAGATCTTCGCCAGCATTGCAGGTGAGCACCTGCTGCTCCGGGGAGGCGGGGCTGGGCGCTGTGCTGGCCCTGTGTGGCTTGCCGTGGAAGTGCGGCCTAGGGTATGGCCTCGTAAGCAAGCACTGATCCTGTGGCTGAACGTTTTCTTTTATTGGTATAAAAGTGGCTTCCCTGGGAATATTTTCGCGAAATCCTGACCTGCCTCATCAGTGCCACAGGAGGGAAGCAGTTGCCCGCTCACCTTGGGCGTTTGTGCCAGGCCTGGGTCTCCTCGGGAAGCGCTGGCACGGGGGCCCGCTCCCAGCTTCCTGCTGCTGGTGCAGATTTATGTAAGAGCAAGTGTAATGTTCAGAGCATGTTGTCGCAGGCCTGTCATTGTAGGGGTGCTGTAGTGGTGTGTGGACAGGCGTGTTGGGGCAGGTCTGCCACCAGAGCCTGGAGCAAGCAGGGGCAGGAAGTGAGAGACAGTGAGGGTCCTCGCCTGGGAAAGGCCCCCCAGCGGGTTGGGCCTTCACTTAGGGTTACTGCATCTGTATCCCTATTACTGTAGGGTTTTGAGTTCATGGATGAACCTGCTGAAGCTATTTTGAAATTCTTCATATTGCCTTTGAGGTAGAATTCTTGAAATTGTGCAGTTTAGTGTGTGCACTTGATTTTTAAAATCGCATTCCTTGAGATGAGAGAGAAATTGTTTCCTAAGCAGATTCCCTGAGGAGCGCAGCCCTCCCTCCTCAGTGGGGGCTGTGGGCCTTGGGCTCCCTGGGCTGTTGGTGGGCGTGGTGGGCGGTGTGGTAGGCGCGCCTGCTACCCATGCACCCGTTCTCCTCCGCAGGTCTGGAGTTTGCCTACTCGGCCGCCCCGAAGTCCATGCAGAGCGCCATCATGGGCCTGTTCTTCTTCTTCTCTGGGGTTGGGTCCTTCGTGGGCTCAGGGCTGTTGGCGCTGGTGTCTCTCAAAGCCATCGGGTGGATGAGCAGCCACACGGACTTCGGTAAGGCCAGGGCCCTGTTCCGAAGCTGGGCACTTGGCTACTGTGGGCATTGTCGTGACGGGAGTTGCCCCCTGCTGTGGTATCCTGCCAGGGCCCCGTGGGTATGGCCTGCTGCCTGGGGGCTGCCAGCATCGGGTGTCCTGGGCAGTGCCCCGTGCTGCTCCTGGTGTCGGGGGTCACTGTCCTGGAGAAAGCTGTATCGCCAGGGGCTTTTCTGATTCACTTGGTTTGTATACTTTGTTTCGTGACAGTGTGATATTCTCATATGAAAAGGACTGAGATAAAGTTGACTTTTTTTTTTTTTAATAAGAGATTGCCTCTGATCAGTCCCGGTAGCATGTTGTGGCTCATGCCCTATCTAGACAGTGTCTTGGGTGCTAATGAGAGGCATGCCAAGCACTGCAGTTTTGCTCTCTCCGGACTGGTAGTGGCTTTGGTTTTTCGGTTGTTAGGTTTTTGTTTGTTTGTTTTGGGGCAAGGTCTTACTCTGTAGTTGAGGCTGGTATTGACCACACTGTGTAGCTGGCCTCAGATTCTGGACGAGCCTCTGTCCTCGGCCTCCTGGGTGCTGGAGTAACAGCTGTGTGTCCTCACCCCAGTTTGATGGTAGGTTTTAGTGGACCTGTGAGTAGAGATGCCCTTTCCTTCCCTTAGTGTGAGAGCTGCGAGAAGAGCCCGGTTACTGCTTTGTGTTTGGTCACGCGGCCTTCGTCCCACCTGGCAGTGCTTAGGAAAGTTTGATGCCGGTTGTGACTGAGCCGGAACTGGGGTGCCAAAGGCCTGTGGTGTCCGGGTGTGCTGGTGTCCAGGAGTCCAGCCCTGTTGTCCCTGGACGCTTTCCTGGCTGTGCAGTGGTGCGCTCGTCCTGGCAGGCACAGGGCCAGGCCTCCTGGAAGGGTGTGCAGATCGGGTTGTGGGCAGATGCCCTGTGTGTAGAGTGCTGCTGCCAGCAAGGGCCGCAGGCTCCCAGGGTCCCGAGCAGGGTGTGGGGTGCCTGGGCAGACAGCTCGGCAGAGCGCTGGTGCTCAGTCTGCAGTCCTCCCTCGCTCTGCTCTCAGTCAGATGTGTCTGGATGTGGCTGATTTCTGTGCCTCTGCTTTGCATGATGTGGTCTCCTGCAGCGGCCCTGACCTGCTGTGGCTCCCTCCAGTGTCTGCTGACTGGCCTTGGGGCATGGCTGCGCATGACCCAGCAGGGACTGTGGGTCTGTGTGGTCAGCAGGTCCCCGAGGTGGGGGTTGGGGGCTAGGACAGCATGGCCTCCAGGCGGATTTCTGGCTGTTATAGGGGTGATGGCTCCTCACCAGCCTCCTGCCGCAGGGCTGCTGGGCTGACCGGAAGTGCAGCAGACCGAGAGCCCAAGGAAGAGGCCTGGCCCATTGTCACAGCTTTCCATCCTGCCCGCAAGCTCGTTCTTTGGAGCATCTGGCTCTCAAGCGTGGGATGCGGCATGCTTTCTTCAGCCTCAGAGTGCGGAAGTTCGGGGCCGGCCACCTTTTCCCCTTGGTGGAAGCTCCTCTCCTTGCTCCCAGTTTGCCCTCTGATCCAGCCTGGGTTCTGGTCGCTTCCCTCTTGTCCTCCCCGTGATGCCGTGACCCAGCATCTACACAGCATAGCTGGGAGGTTCTTTCTACTGCTCATCCTCCACTGGCTCCTTGGGTAGGGGCACCGGAAGAGGAGTTGGAGCGGCTCTGGAGCCCCACAGCTTTTCCCCATGCTTCAGGTGGTGCCTGTGCTGCCCGTGCGCGCTGCAGTGTGAGAGGCATCTACGGTGCCTGCGGCCTGTGGGACAGCAGGACAGCCTGGCGGGGTGTGCCATGCTCCAAGTGTGCGCAGGCTCGCTACTGTGATCACACTGGATGCTGACACCAGTGGGCTCTGAGCCTCCCCCGTGGGAGAGGGCGCCGGCTTGCAGAGCTTCACCCCTGCCTGTGCTGAGGGGATTGGAGCAGAGCAGATGGGTCGAGGCCACAGTCTGTGTGATGGGGCCTTCGGCTGGCGCAGCTGGGTGTAGTGCAGCGCTGGAGTGGGAGATGCCAGGCCCAGTACTGGAAGCCTGTGAGCTCCTGTAGCCTTGTCCGCCCCCTTTGGAGCTTCTGGGACTGAGCACTGTGAAAGGGGTCAGAATGGAATGCTCAGCGGGTAGGATAGCTGCTGTGAGGTGGTACGACAGGTTTGTGTCAGGCGAGGGCGCTGGTCCAGAGCAGGAGCTACATGGGCAGCGTGCGTTCTGGTGACAGCCGTGGGTTCCGGCTCTTGGCCCTCCTGGGAGGGTGCAGCCTCACGGGCTTCTTGGCATGGCCCCAGCCATGTCCTCCTGCTGGCCATGCTGTGGAAGGCGGCACATGGGCCCCGTAGCTAGGTCACAGAGGATGCCTGGCCCTGGGCTGGGGGGAGGGCTGCTACTGCGTGACCTTCGCTGCATCCTCATCCTCAGCCCCCGCACGGTGTGGCTGCTGCAGGCTGTCGTGCACTGGTCATGGGGAGAGGCCACCAGCCACGTGCTCTGATGGCAGGAACTTGGGCTGGCCTTGTGACTTTCTGCACATTCCTATTTGAAGGAAAAGAAAGATACCAGAAAGAGTTCCTTGGGGCTCTGTCTCCAGCCCTTAGCTTTCCTGACCGCTCTGTGCAGCACTCAAGTCACCCACTGTAGGGGACACTGCCCTGCCCGAAAGCTCTGGCTGTGCCCAGCAGCTCAGCCCTGCCCTCACCAGGGGCTGGCCCCGAGCCGGGGTGGAGCCAGGCCCTGACCCTTTCCTTAGCCCCAGAGGAAGGACCCTGGTGGGTGAGCAGCAAGGGAGGGTGCACCTCACCTCTCTCCCCTGCTCTCCAGGTAATATCAACGGCTGCTACCTCAACTACTACTTCTTCCTGCTGGCCGCCATCCAGGGAGCCACCCTCCTGCTGTTCCTCATCGTGTCTGTGCGCTATGACCGGCCTCGGGTGCGAGGGGATGGTGCGCCCACCAGTGCCAGGGCCTGACCTGAGTGCGCGGGCCCAGCCGTCGACTGAGGCAGCGGCCGCCCTGAGCGCTTGTGCTGTTTCCTGTGCTGGCCTCCAGCCCCGCCCACAGGAGCGAGGTCAGTGCCTGCCTGGGCGTCCCCAGGGACGGGCAGGCCTGAGGTGTGCTGCGTCCTGCGTCTGTCAAGTCATCTGGTCTCTGCTGATCATCTTCCACAGAAACTCAGACAAACTTGGGGTGTCGGCACCCTGATTCCTCAAATGTCACCACCTCCTCCGGCAAGCCAAGTAACGTCCCCTTCTGAACGCTAGTAACACGTCCCTGTACTGAGGAGAGGCAGGCTTCTTCCCCGAGTGGAACACATTGTTCGGCGCTCGGAGTTCACGTAAAGGTCATGCTCATGGCTCTGCAGGGGCCACCAATCAGGCCGCAGCCAGGTCGTCTGCTGTGGCCCAGCCATGCACAGGCTCATCTGTTGCTTGTTTCTGAGACTGCGGACTTGGTATCGCCTGCCGAGGGCGCCCGCGAGCCAAGGCCAACTCTAGGGGCAGAGTTCCTGAAACGGAAGGTGACATAAAGTGTTGCCCGTGCACTGCTGTTGGACGGCGCCGCCTCTGGCCCGCCGGGTTCCAGTTTGTAGCTGGACTGCTGTGTTTGTGGCTGTGTCTTTGGTATATTTTTATTATAAAAGCATCTCCAGTGTGAGCCCAGACCCGACTCTTGAGTGGTTGTCCACGTCTGTCATTGGCTCAGCCTGGAGGCAGGCAGCGCTGTGGGAGGCGATTCCTGGGGCAGCCCTGGTGAAGGGCGCCCTCCTGGCCCCGGCGGGGTGGCCAGGCCAGTTCTGAGGCGCTGTGCCACTGCACACCTGCAGGGAGCAAGAGCCCCTCGCTCACACGCCGCGGAGCGAGTCCTGAGTGCAGGTGGCGGTGGTGGTGTCATGCAAGCGGCTTAACTCCCTTCAGGGAGCTGCAGGCACTGTCCAGGAGATAGGAGACTGTGCCTTCAGAGGTCGCTGACCCGGGTGGCTCAGACGCTAGCCCTGGAAGGAATCCCTCTGCGCGCAGCCCATCCGACTGACCGAGCACTAGCAGAGCCGCTCTGCTGGGAGACAGCCCTGGGCCCCGTGGCGGGTGTGCCACCCCAGGAGTCCTGAAGCCTCTGGCTAGGGCACCCAGACAAACACAGATGGGGGACATTTGCGCTCTGTCCATGTCCACGCCTCTGTGCTGGCCACAGGCACCTAGGGCACTTGGCAGTGAGCTCCATGGGATAGCTCTCTGACCCCTGGAAGGGGGGTGGGTGCAGCTTTGCCCAGGTGCCACAGCAGCATTGCCAGGACAGTCCCCAACACCACAGTTAAAAGCGGGAAACTTAGTTGGCCCTCAGCTTCAGGGGATTTACCTGGGGTGTGCTGCCCCAAAGCAGGAGGGTGTGGGGGACCAGACGTGGAGCAGAACAGTGCATGGGAGCCAGGACCAATGCAGAGCCCAGGACCTGCCACCACAGCCTGCCCGGACACACCGGGAAAGAGCCTCACAGGTCCCTCGGACCTTGCTCCAGATGGTCAGCTCAACAGCCATAGTAGTGTGGCGCAGCAGGACGCCCATCCTGGTTTCTGATGGCCACCAGGCGTGTAGTCGGGACAGTGGAGCGGGCTGCCCTCTGCCCTGCGCTTGGCTTGCTGGGAGAACCCACTGTCCACTGCCTGCCCGGGGAACTGTGGTGGGCAGCATGGCCGAGTGGTCATCGCAGCAGCCCTCCAGGCCCTGCCGAGGTGCTGGCCTGCTGAGCGCTACTCACAAAAAATGGGCGATGGCCAGGACTACCAGGTTGCTCCACGTGGTGCAGAATGTTCATCACTTGAAAGTCAGAGCAGTGAGGAGACGAGGGACTGGGACGTGTGGAATTGCTGTGTGCCACAGAACGCTCACTCTGTCACAATGGAGCAAATATACGGGGGTTCTCAAGCAGACCAGAGCCACTTTAGGGAACATGCTAAAGTGGTCTCAGACTGTCTTTCAAGAGGAGGGTCTTTTGAAGGAAATCACACAGAAGTGCTGTGCTGAGTAAGTACATTGAAAGTGACAGAAGTCAGAAATGGTAGAGACCGGCCTCAGCCACCTTGCTCTGTTCCGGACCTGGTGGCTGACCTGCTTGAGGAGGAAGCGGCCCAGGCCGGGGCGGTGCCCAGAGCTGTGGGGCCAGTGTGAGCGACAGGGCCACAGTGGCTGGCCTGGAGCCAGTCCTCACCGCCACCCCCAGGGGTGCAGGACCCAGCGCAAGGGGCCGTGAAGGCCTGGGTGGGCCACGAGTGGAGCCGCCAGGGCCATGGTCACAATTTAAAGCCCAGCCCCGGCAACTTTGTCAGATCCTGCCCCAAATAAAACTGTGACTGTGTGTTTCTTCCTGGGGCCTTCTGGTCCAGAGTCACTCATTCCTTCAACAAAGCTCCGACCCGAGTCACAGTGTCCCCCCAAGACTCCTGTCTTCTGGAGTTGCACATGGCCTTACTAAAAACAAGATCTTCCCAGCTTGGAATTGAATTACGGTGGGGTCAGCCTAGATTAGGGTGTGACCTTAATCCAGCCCAGCATGGCCAAGGGCCGGAAGTGCAGGAGGCAGAGCAGGGGTGACCAAGGCCCACCAGGGTGCTGGGTGGCATCTTTGGCCAGAGTGATGGACCAGGTGCTGTTATGAGGGTGCTCTGAGCCCCTTGGGCTGTGACATGGCACAGCTGCATAGAGGAGTGGAGTCTGTTTCTGAGGGTCACCCACACAGCCTCTCTGAACAGTGGGGGGTTCTTTCTCAGGGTTCCATGGGCTGGTCACTGGGCAGCGTTGACCTGGGACCTGCCTGGGCAGCTCCTGGAGAACTTGATCCAGCATGTTGCTCACCACCACCCTCCGGCCTTGCTCAGGGCCAGCTGTCCTGGTGCTGCTGCTCTGCGCAGTGGCCAGCCACGCAGTGGCAGCCCAGATGCAGCCATGAAGCACAGTCCACAGCCCTGCATGTTAGAGGCCTGGGTGCACGGAAGCGCCTTCCCTGCTGTAGCACAGTCACCAGCCCGCTCCTCTCGGCTGGTGGTGCCAAGGACCAGCGGCATTCAGGCTTGCTTTCGACGCACCCAGGCATGAATCTCTGCGCTTTGTGTCATGCATAATTCACCTAGTGCAAGGACAGACCGCAAGCAAGAGAATCTGTCCTGGGATGGGAGTTAGGAAGGACACAGTCTCCCCAAGCTGCCTGCAGCGTCTCGGCCATTTCCCGGGGGCGTTTGCTCTGGGATCTCGGCTCTCTGGATCCCGCATCCACCCACCCTGTGCCCCTGCCCCCAGGGCCACTGCAGGCTGCTGCCAGTGCGGTGAAACGCTTGCCCCGCTTATTAAGGTGCGCAGAGCCAGCGTGGGGTTGCGTTTCCCGTTTGCTCTGTGATTTAAAATACACCGGGAAACTGAAGATCGAGACTAAAGCCGAGGCCACGGGGTTTGGTACCACAGATGTTTCTGGGCTCAGCAGCCCCCTATGCAAAATCTGCGGCAGACGTGCCTGGAAAAGTGTGACGCACTCGCTGGGTACTGGTGCTGTGGCCACCCTGAACTGACCCACGCGCGTTACCACACATACTGATTCTTTGTGATGAAAGCGCTCCAAAGTGACGACTTCTTAGCAGGCCCCAGGACCCCCGTGCCGTGCTGTTGACAGCAGTCTCCGCCTGCTGCGGCCCTTCTCTGGAGCCCAGCCCTTCCTGTCGGCTCTGGGAAGTTCTGGCCTGCTCTGGGGAGGCGGAGTCCAAGGCCCCCGACTCCAGGCTGCCCTGCTTTAGAAGGACTCCTCCGGGTGAGGCAGCTCCCTGCTTCTGCACTACTGCCACCCTGGGTCCTCACCGCAGATTGGGGGGAGGCGGCAGGGGCGGAGCCACGGGCTCCCAGGAGAAGGCAGAGGGGGAGCAGCAGCCAGGAAGCCAGCCCCAAGGCCTTGGAGTGAGCAGGCGGGTTTCCGGGTTTCCGGGGCCTCTGGGAGCAAGGCTGCCCCGCTCACTATATTAGAGTGTACTCTTTAAAAAGTCAACATATATGCAAAAAATGCACCGTGGACAGGACGTCCTAGTGTTACACAAGGGTAGGCCCCGCTCCTGCCTGCGGGGCCCGCAGGGGCGGGGTTTACTGGACCTGGGAGCTGTTTGTCAGGAGGTTCCAGCCACGGCCCTAGCACAAGCCATGCCTGCCTGCTCTGATCGACTGTGAGCCAGGATTTATGGTGCCCTTCTGCGTGAGCCCCTCTTCTTCCAAGGTGGACAGGGAGGGACCCAAATCCATCCGGAGCTGGAGGGAGCGCTTCCTGATCCCATGTGGTTGGAGCAGGGGTGGGGGAGTGTCCCAAGGTCACCTGTGGCCCCAGACAGCCCCAACAGCCACAGTTGTGGTTCAGCCTCTGGCACTGCCTTCCTGTGGACCCAGCTGTGGACTTTGGGCTGCTGCTACAGATTAGCAAACTGTTGCTCGCCCTGCTGCTCCAAACAGCTGGAGCTCATCTTCCCTGTTCCGGAGGCCTGAACCCAGCAAGTGGGGCACCACGGGGAATGTCCTCTCTCGCCTCTTCCTGTGGCTGTTGGAGCCCTTGGCTCATGGCAGCTTCTCCCCTATCTCAGCCTGCACCTGTGTCCCTAGCTGTCCTTTCAGTTTCTCCCAAGAACCCTGCTTGGGTGGAGGACATTTCTGTTCCAGGATGGCCTCCTCGCCATCCTTACTCTGCACTGCCCCCTTTCCAGGTAAGGCCACACCCTGCACTTCTGGTTGGACTTGAACTTGTGGGACGCTGTTCACACCACCACCCTCAGCCCAGAGGGTCGGGAGATTCTCCATGGAAACACCAACTGCTGAAGACCCCACTAAACAGTCCAGATTGGGTTCCAGCCCCCGGGGCACCCATGGGAGCCAGGCCGCCTTTCTGTGGGGCCATCCTCACTGCCCAGGCTCGAAGCCCCGCTGCCCTGTGCCCAGGGACCGCCTGCCCAGCATTAGTCTGCGGAGTGCTGAGTAAGCGCTCCTTGTGGACGGCCTTGTGACCCTTTCACAGCGAGAGGAAGTCGGCTCCCGCTGAAGAGCCCAGCGGTGGGGAAGGCGGCCCTGCGCCCAGGCTGCAGAACCTCCTGAAGGAGGTCGGAGGAATCAGCCCCTGGAGAGCACTTCAGACCCCTTCTGTGAAGTAAGGCGTTTCGCCTGTGCTCCTTAGCACAGCTGGCTCGTACTCGAGTTCATCCGACAGACCGGGCCTCCCGTGGTCTCCCCTCGCCTGCAGTTAGGGGATCTGGGTTCTGCTCCGTAGTGGCTAGAGAGATTCATCAGCACTAGAGAAACGTACTTGTGGTCCTAGGGCTGCGAGCCGCCGAAAGCCACCGGGTGGCTGGAGCAGCACGGGAAGGGCGCCTGCGCGCAGGCTCCGGGGCAGCCGGCCCTAGACCCTCCGCTTGTATCTTGTGTGTTACATTTTATATTGATATTCTTCTTATCG